CTGGGCACGGCGTCCCGTGGACGGGGCGGGGAGGGGGCGGACCCGGCGGCGCGTGGACGTGGCGGCCCGAGCGCCTGGAGCGTGTGCGCGGCGGTCCGACGGCCGTGCAGACGGTGGCTGGTGGGGGAGGATGTGGGGGACGTGGTGGGGGCGATGGCAAAAACTGCCCGAGGGCGTGGTCGCGGGAGGGATCAGAATTGTTTTCTTATTTTACGGAACGTGTTTCTGTGGATGGTAACCCAATGGCATGGTGGGTAATTAAAGCATAAAATGCGTTTGGTGTTTTGGAAGAATGTAGACCATTAGATCGCAGGTTTGGATGGATAGGATGATTTGGTTCTCCGCCCTCTCGTGCTTTTATAGTGGTAGTAGATAGGAAAGGGGGCAAAACCTACTTGGAGTAGGATTGCCCCCCTTGGGCGCGCCTCCTCCTTTTGGCCAGCCCCCTCCTCCCCCCTTTATATACAGAGGAGGGGGGCACCCCATAGACACAACAATTGATCTCTTGATCTCTTAGCCATGTGCGGTGCCCCCTTCACCATAATCCACCTCGATCATATCGTAGCGGTGCTTGGGTGAAGCCCTGCGTCGGTAGAACATCATCATCGTCACCACGCCGTCGTGCTGACGGAACTCTCCCGTGAAGCTCTGCTGGATCGGAGTTTGCGGGATGTCATCGAGCTAAACGTGTGCTGAACTCGGAGGTGCTGTGCGTTCGGTACTTGGATCGGTCGGATCGTGAAGACGTACAACTACATCAACCGTGTTGTGCTAACGCTTCGGCTTTCGGTCTACGAGGCTACGTAGACAACACTCTCCCCTCTCGTTGCTATGCATCACCATGATCTTGCGTGTGCATAGGATTTTTTTTTAAATTACTATGTTCCCCAACAGACTCCTCCGAGGATGAGTAGGGCATGGGAGGCGGCAGGGCATGGTGTGCCAACTGGTCGGTCTGTATCCCGTGTTCTACTCTTCCTCGCCGGAGACCGCACCTTCACTTCACGGGTCTTGAACCCCGCCCCGTACATAGAGATCGCAGATGGAGGATGTCGGTCGCCGCCATAGAATAGGTTTAGGGTCGGGTTTATAAAAGTTCGAAATGTAATGAAAATTTGCCGTGTTTGCATTAATCTCGGACGGTGTATATGAACTTTCACAATAATATACATATTGTAGGAGTACTAGCAAGATGCCCGTGCGTTGCATGGAAGATCAAGATCTTGTGGGAGAAAAGGATGAACGAGGGAAAGCCTTATCTGCAAATGTGGAGAGGAGTGCGGGTAAATTGTCATAGTTTCCTTCCTATCCGTTAGATATAGATCGGACGGCCTATATTACAGGATGACAGGCACACCATCATCACCAACTCTGCTTTTTATTGAACCGAGACAAATCTAACATGCGAAGTATAATAAACACATAGGTTCTATACATACCAAGGAAAAAAATAGCGAGCTATAGCGTTTCTGGAAACTAAATGCTACGCTATGCAGATTTCACTCGCTACGGCGCTATTCGTGCTAAATACGACAATTGCGTGCTATAGCGCGTATCGATGCTATTTTTTTGACGGCGTTTTTTTTTCAGACGAATTTTTCATCAACCCACTATACTTTTGGGCTTTCTGGCCTAGTAACCAAGCATATCTTCTCCTCCGGCCGAGCGAACCCTAACCAACCTACCAAGCGAGCCCTTCCCAAATTGAACGAGGTGACGGTGGCAGCGGCGGCCGCCGGTGCTTTGCCCGTCTCCTCCAGCCACGGCCGTCTGCCTCTTGCCGCCTCCTCGGTCGCCTCCTCGGGTCTTCGTCGCCTCCTCTAATCCTCTTGCTCGGGTCGTTGTCGCCTCCTCTTGCTCCAACTCGATGTCGGCGTCAGCTTCAGCGGCGGCGAACCAGCAACCAGGTAAGAGTTGCTTCAATTCATAAATCTTAAATTCTTAATTAGTCAATCTTGATTGTTGATGAACACCGATCCAAAAATAGTCAATCCTAAATTCGTAATTAGTCAATCTTAAATTTTCCATGACTTGTGTAGTTGTGTCTACTATCTAGTACTCTACTTTCTAATTAAACCATTTCCATGTTAACTTTGTTAGTAGTAAGCTAGTAAGTACTTGCTGATTGCTCTCAGTCTCAGTGCTTGTAGTTAGTACAACCAAAGTTAGTACTTTCCAAATTTGGTACTAGTAAATGTAAATAAATACTTTGCTGCAATCATATGTTCCTTATTTGCAAGCCGGTTAAAATTTCTGAAATACTTTGTTGTATTCATGAATGTAGGCGGTGGTGTGTCAAGCACATCATCAACAGCTACACAGGGAGAAGGAGCATAGGTTGTTCCTAGATCAAAAGATCCAGCATGGAGATGTTGCACATGTCCCGACATCAGCAAGAAGAACTGTCTAAGATGCATATTCTGCGGTCATTTGTCCAGCAATGGCACTAGTCAAATCAAATTGCACCTTGCATCCATTCCTAAGTCTGGTGTGGATCACTTTGAGAAAGTGCCAACTGATGTCAAAGAGGAGATGTACTTGACAAAGAAGGGTGACAAAAAGGCAGCCAAGCATATGGAGCAGAAGAGACGCAGAAATGGAGTTGACTTGAGCCACTCGGAGGGGGAAGAACAAGCTAGAAGTGATGAAGATGGCCTAAACCATTCTGCACTTGTGCTTCAGCCATCGAGATCAACAAGAAATAAATCTAAATCTTCAAGTGGCCCTATGGACAAATACTGTGAATTAACTCCCGAAGAGCTTGTTGCTGCAAGGAAGAGGAAACGTGGTGCTGACACGATCCAGGGGAAGCTGACAACTGAAAAGAGAGAACAAAAAAGGGCTCGTGCTTGTGAGTACATCTGCAAGTGGTTCTATGAAGCTTGCATTCCATTTAACGCAGTCACACTTCCCAGCTTTGACCTCATGCTTCAGTCAATTGGACAGTATGGTGAGGACTTGGACGGTCCTACTCCTTATGAAATGGGTGGCCCAATATTGATGAAGAGGAAGAAAAGAGTTCAGGAGTCCTTCAATGCACACAGGAATACTTGGGAGCTTACTAGATGTACAATCATGACAGATGCATGGACTGACATAAGAGGAAGACGGGTAATGAATCTTGTAGTTCATAGTGCTCATGGGGTGGTGTTTCTTAATTCTGTGGACTGTTCAGCCGTGAAGAAAGATTGGAAGTACATCTTTGAGCTTGTTGATAGATGCATAAAAGAGGTTGGTGAGAAGCATGTAGTTCAAGTTGTGACTGATAATGCAAGTGTTAATCAAGCGGCATCAACCTTGTTGAAAGCAAAGCGCCCCAGCATATTTTGGAATGGTTGTGCTGCCCATTCTATTGATCTAATGTTAGAGGATATTGGCAAGCTTAAAATAGTGGACTCTACTATTACACAAGCTAGAGCTGTCACTGTTTTCCTTTATGCACACACTAGAGTTTTGTCTCTAATGAGGGAATTCCTTGGGAAAGATCTGGTGAGGTCTGTCATTACAAGGTTTGCTGCAGCTTACTTGAACTTGAAAGGCATGCTGGAAAACAAGAAAGAACTGCAGAGGCTATTCAGATCGGATCAGATGGATGAAATGGGTTACTTAAAAAAGGTGAAAGGACGTGATTCAAACCGAAGTGTGCGCTCTGAAATTTTTTGGACAGGAGTAGAACGTGTTGTCAACTTCTTTGAGCCTTTGGCTAATTTGCTGCGGCAAATGGACAGCAATGTACCAGCTATGGGTTTCATGGATGCAAAGAAGGAGATTGTAGCTAGATTTGACAATGAGGAGGCTAGTATCCAAGAAGTGCTACACATTATTGATAAGAGATGGGAGAACAAATTGAAGGGGCCCCTACATAGGGTTGGATACTTTTTAAACCCATACTACTACTACTATGAAAACAAGCTGTAGAATGAGTTGGATGGAACATTTAAAGATGGCCTTGTTGCTTGCATGGATAAGATGGTTAGAGATGGTAAGAAGGAAGATATAATGACAGCTGAGTGCTAGGCATATCAAAATGAAGAGGGGTCGTTTGGAAGGGACAATGCTAAAAGGCAGCGGAGAAACAAGAACTTTGATCCAGGTAAAGAACTAAATATTTACATTGTTGAAATAAGATGTGTAGGATGCAATGTGAATTAGATGTTGCAGCTTTGTAAACTGTTATTTGTTACTTGTTGATGCAGCTAAATGGTGGTCCAATCATGGATCAAGTGGACCAAATCTCAGGGTACTGGCTATGCGGATTTTGACCTTGACATGCAGCTCATCAGCTTGTGAGAGAAACTTCAGTGTTTTTCAGCAGGTAAGAATGTAGTACAAAGTACATACTGTCAACATATCCTTTATATGCACATATGTTTCTTTTTCTTACTGATGTTTATTTACTTGCAATGTACAATCAGGTTCAAGGCAGCAAAAGGCACAACATGCTACTTCATGACAAAATGAGAGATCTTGTCTTCATCAAGGCCAACTCCCAACTTGAACAAAAGAGAATGAACAAAGACAGGGATCCACTTGTGGACAGAACACATGCAGATGTTGTGGAAGATGAAGATAACGAGTGGATCACAGGAATTGTGCCGGTTCCAGTTGTGGATACTGCAGATGAACCTGAAGAAGAACCAATACCACAACCAAGAGCAAGAGCTGCTGCATCAAAAAGAAATAAAGCTCGTCAGCCTAGGAAGAAGTTGCTCCCAGTTTTTCGTGATGATGAGCTGCAATCTGTGGGTTCTTCTTCTGATTCGGATGATGATGCCATGGCAGCAAGTTCATCTGATTCTGATTGAGCTTCTACATCGTTGTTGGCTGGCTCCTAAAGTCCTAAGTCCTTATTTCTGCTATTCTGGACCTTGCTTGTAGGCTGTTTAATTTATCCGCCTACTTTGTTTGTCTGAAATCTGAATGTATGAACTTTGAACAGTGCTATATGCCTATATCTGGACCATGCTTTATTATCTGAACAATGTTTTAGCCTTGGTTTTAGCTGCTGAAATATGTCATTTGTGTTGATATATCTGTCATTTGTATGCTATATGTTGAAATCCGAATAACGTTTTGTGAAACGCTATTTTGCAAAATAGCACGCTATTTCATTTATAGCGTTTTTTAAAGGTTGCGCTATTTCAAATAGCGCGCTATTTTTTCATTGATACATACACAAATTATCTTAGGCACTGCAATAGTACGTCCACTACACATTCACGCATTTCACATCTTTCTACATCTACGGGAACCTATGAAAGGGTTAACTTAAATTGCCTCTCTCTCTCCTCCCCTGATTTTCATGGTGGTGGGCCCCTCCCTCCCCCCAATCTACAATCAACAGCTCACACGTCTCACATTACATTAATTACGTAACTGGGATTACATAGGTGTAGCATTACTCGTCCTAAAAAACCCAACTAAGCCAACCTCCCAGCATATCGTGCGGGAAAAGACCCGGCCGCGCCGTTTTAGTCGGGATTACTGGATTGCTAGTAGTAGTATCGATGGATCGCGCGAAGCAACAAAATTTTTTTGAGGGGGCAAAGCACCTAGTTTAAAAGGAAAAAGGCGGTACACTCATAACACTCCTGTCGCGGTCGCATTGCACCCTACACATGTCCGGTCCTGCACATGGCTCACGCAAACGGAACGCGCTTCGGCTTGCCTCTTCACTGACACGTGGGACTGCACTTGGAGAAACTGACCATGCGCCAAAC